TGGACGCGGGAATATTGATTCAATTCAGTTGGATGGCATGGTTCAGCCTCGCATACGCGTTCATTCTGTATAATTTGATTTTACTCACGTCAAATATATTATTCTGTTTTTAGGTCAAATATATTTTTCAGAAGCACTAGACGTTACATAGCTTATTCTTATGGTGGGATAAGTCAGAATAGACAATTACAGGACTTCCAAGTAAAATCTTATAGATTAGATAGTCATATCATGACAAATCTACAATTTTAGGATTAGTTTTATTATAATAATAGTACTAATAACGAAGTAAACTATGATCCTACAGACGCACTTTTCTTTCTTTACGCTTGTCAAGTTTTATAAATTGTAACAGTTTGATGTAGTTCATGTAACCTTTCACAAATCATTTGTTTAACAATGTCGTGTAGTCACAGAACTTAGGGTAGTATCTAACCATAATATACCCATGATTTTGAGTCTCTTGCTAAACTTACATAGGTTTAAAAGATGTCACGGCCATTCAGTTCTTGATAGCGCAATTGTCTATAACACTTTCTAGTCGTATATCTCAAAATTAGTCAGGAATGAAAGAATTTAGAGATTACAGTTGGAAGTTATGCAGTCCGTCGAGAGGTGCGTGATCTTAGCTAGCTAATCGTCATGATAGTGAGTTTAATGGGACTAATGAAGTCAGATTCAGTGTTGAATATCCATAAACTACTCAGTTAGGTAATCTATTTACTGTTAGGGCTCGTTCTCTCCTAATGAGGTAGTTATAACTCTAAGACAATACCAACAAAAAGTTTAAACTAAACGACCTTACTTTTTCGTAAATTCCCTTTTGATAGCTTACTATATCTGTAGTGAACAAGAACACGTGTGAAGACAATCGAATGTATTTGACACGAAATAACAGAGCATGTCACTAAAATCTGAGAACCATAGAGTAAAAACATCAATCCATCATATCAAACTTGACTGTTCCTATTGCAAACGTCCATCGATTGTCTCAGATTTTATTGTTCATGCGTTTTCATTCCAATTGCATTCCGTTCCCTTTCTTTCCTCATCGACCTTCTACGGAAGTACATTCTATGCCTGACCACTGTTAAATACTACATGTGTGGATATAAGTAACCCACACCACACATTCACTAGCGTCTCATTACTTTTTCATGCTCTAAGAAGTCATAAGATGTATAATAATGAAATGTACAATTAAAAGTTCGATTCACCGCATTGCTCCTAAATTTTTCATATTTTTCAGTAGTTCTGAAGAGTAAAGAAATGGAAATGTAAGTGCAAGTCAAAACAAACTTGTATTTGCTTAAGCAAGAAAACTCTACGAAAAAGTCTTTACCTATGCGTATATATCATAGCGCACAGGCTTTTACATTTTCGCAAGAGAATGATCATGCACAAGCATTTGAAATATATTTTGGATTTTGTTGGGGGGTCGCTTTATAAGAAGGCGGGGTTTACTTGAACGATGCTGATGTTATCAGTAGTCTCGTTCCTATAAATATAACGTGAGTTGATGATGACGAACGCATAGATTCTTTCGTATGCAGCCTTGATGAGTAGACATAATGAGTCGCAGTATACATAGGTGTGTAATGTGGCTTGGACGAAAACATTAGTTGATTGTAGTCGGGGGGAGTTTTAATCCACATTTACTGAAATAAACGAATGATCTACGAATTCTCCTGGAAATCAAAGTCCTGTGTATTTCTAATTTCAAGTAATATGAGTGGTTGAGATTCACTTCAATGTTATACGTTCGAAGCTAAATTTGAGGCTTTCAACTGTCGGTGACATCACTCTGCTAAACCGTCAACTTGAGAATATCAGGAAGTTGCTCGAAATTGTATGAGAGTGTATTGGTCCAGATTCGAACGAGCGTTCGCGATCCACTGAAAGACAGCCACAGTTTGCCACTAGAATCCCAACGAAGGCGAGGAACACTTTTGTACCAGTACTGTTCTTGATAGATACTGCTTCTGATCGTCACACAAAGTGGTCAAAACACTTTAAGAGATGAGTGTATCCATTTGGTTCTGATAAGTGTGTGACATCAGAAAAGTGAATCGCTCCAGTGTGTCTGAATAGCATTTAAGGAGTGTAAGATCAATTTTGAATGCTTTGTGTGTTTGTGAAAATCCCTCCATGTATATACTTGTACTTTGTTCCTATTGATCCTCTTAGTTGTACATTGTTAACCTTTTGGCTACATTTGAATTGTTAATATTTGTATTTCATTATAGTTTTCGTTTTTACTACACCTTCACTAATTCCCCATGTTTCTTCCCGAACTGCACTTATGTTGTTTTACTTTATACTAAGTCTGTTCGGCAGCCATTTTGGTTTGTTCCTGCTTTTGATTGCTTGACCTGTGTTGTCTGGAATTGTGCATTTTGGTTGTGAATTGAAGCACTCTTCCAGAATTGAAAACCCTGTGTTATAGAGCGACCAATTATTACCTTTTGAACGAATCTGTACGTGATCTATCCAGACAGGATAGAATAACATTTATTTGTGGTGATTATTTAGATTTGATCAATTGAACAATCACTGGTTGGATAGCTGAGTGGTAATATTTGTTTAGATCCGTCATCTTACCCAATTACTTTGTTTTTGTTTCAAACGGACGAGGGCGTGTATCTAACTCATCCAGGCAGCTGTCCAGCAGTCCAAACGTAGTTTGGATCTTACAAGGAGGACTTCTGAAGAATAAATTTGGACTGAGAATAGAATGTTAAGATTGATATATAAAGCGAGAGGTTACAGACAGTTACCACACATGCATGGCTGAACCATGCTATATCAATTAATTTTCCTGAGTTCATCATTTCTCCCCTCTAAATGTTGAATGTCGGTCTTTTCAGTTATTCTGTGTTTAGCCTTAAGAATCATGTAGTCAGAAACCAATACCACTACGCATGCACGAAATGATACTGAAAGATACTTTTTCTAATAAGGTGTAGACGTTTGATAAACTTAGATTGCCAAGGTAGGTAAACCATTTTTATCAGTAATAGAATAATATCCTACTCAGAGGAGGTGGGTAAGTCAGTTCAATTCAATTTAAAGATGAAGAAACAACAGTAAATAGTAGCAAAAGATCCTGAAGTAGACAGAGAATGTGCTTCGAAGTCTGCAACGCAAAACAGTGCAACCACTTCGTAAAGTACCTGAAGTGACGTGCGAGATGTGGTCTGGTTATCGAGACTCTTAAGGAGAGCACATGTTTGGGGACGGGTCAAGGTGAAGAGTAAGAGTTCAGCAGTTGGTGAAAGAGTGAATTGTCGGCCCTCTATAATGTCGAAAGTGATTCATAGCCCGGCATACAACTAGAAGTTCCTCGCCATGAGAACTGCGCCTCGGTCCAGTGCCCATGGACTGTCTGGAGAAAGATTTCAAAGGTCACCTAGTTTCATTCACTCACTGCTGTCAGACTCCTCCGAATACAGAGCCTTATGCATCCACTGCGAAACTGATGGGTGATTTTGATGTCCGGATGTGTGAGGATAGTTACTTTTGTTGTATTCTCCTTGACTATGGAAAACGCTTTTCTCATGTTCTCGTTCAAATTGTTGAACTTGGCTAGTTAAAGATCTTATGAGAAACGAGCAATTCGGTATAATCTGTCGATGAAAATTTACCAAACCGTAAGCGTACATAAGTGCTTGTCTGTGGTCGGTTCTGGATAGTGCCGAATAGCCATCACTTTGTTCTTCAGAGTGTAGACGCCTTATACATCAATGGCGTGTCCAAGAAAATTGGAGAAATTGGTTTCAATGGACATTTCTCACAGTGATTCTCTCATTTTGAAGTCATTGAAAAATAAGTTCTGAAGCTGGACGTGTTGTTCTCCGTTCAAACGTGAGATTAAGTAGTTATTATATTCATTCTCAAAATCAGAACCTGTGAAACCACCGTCAGTAGTTCACTGAAAGTTGACTTATCTTTCTTTAAACCGAAGGACACAAGTGAAATGTCACAGAGTCCAAAGGGTATGACAATGCCCGTCTTAGGAATATCATTCCCATGTATTTGGACGTTTCTTATACGTTTTAGTCAAACCAATTTTTTAAAAAAAACTGACGTATCTTCTAAGTTGACTGTCAGGTAGTGAACATGCATTATTTCGGAATCAGATGAAAACCACATACTACTACTGAGGTAACTTAAATAAGAATAAATATATAAAATAGCCCTCATCCTAGATCAGTGACCTTTTGTACACGTAGCTAGATTTCTGTTGTCCAGTCGTGTTGTAATTCGATATTGTTGAGCTGTTGGTCCATTCTTCTTCTATAGGTTAGGTCACCGAGTTGAGGAATAACCTTTTTGAATGTGCAGTAAAGTTTCAGAGGCATTACTGATAAATAAACTAGGTACAGCCTGCCTGATCAACTCACAAGTCAGTTCTTCTAGTTCAGCGAGGAATTGCACACACAGGCCTGTCACAGCGTGCTCATAGAAGTCAGCTTCTGTGTATCTGAATCAGGCTTCTGTATTTGCAGGCCACAATGAGACGACTTGCACGATGAGAGGCGTAGAAGTGTTAAACTTGAATGGTTTAGGCATGTCCTGACGTAGTAAAAATGAAAATTATAAATATGAGGAAAACCTAAGAGCACAAAAAGAACACCGGGTATATTTTGTCTTACAACCAGGAACAGCCTCATAGTTTATAACTCGGTTTAATGAATCTCAACAAGGATCACCACTAATGATATCACTGATATTCAGTGCTTGATAGCACGATTGCCTTCAACAAATTCTATTTGAAGACCAGACCGGTCAAAACGGAAGTCATCAGTGAAGGAGTTCGAAGATATATTTTAGAAATTGTGATGTATATTATCTAAACTGATTAGCTGTTGTGAGGGATGCGTAGGATGTTGTACTCACTGGTGTTCTTGTGTGGATGCTTGACCTAAGACCTTCAGATGTAGTGCATCCAGTAATACTAGCGGAATCAGTGGCAATATAGAGGACCTTGAGAACGATTTGTTTTGGGGATTTATCTGCCTCTACGGCCATCAGTGAGCCACCACTACTAGATACAGTAAGGAGTAAAAAAGCTTCCGCCTTTCTTTTTGTAACCATTGGAACAACTTTTGCTCTCAATTAGAATGTTGGAACTTACTATTCAATTTACCATCTATATCACACAAAATTTAAATATCTTTTCTACTGAGATACCCTAGGAGCGTTGCCCTGAGGCCAAAAGTGGAATTACTGATATTCGGATTTCCATACTTCAGTTAATTTTAGTCGAATGAAGATACGCGATTAGAAAGCAATTTTTATTAACCGATCTCTGTTTTAACCTGTCAGTCAAGTAAAATAGTTTCTCCCGCATTATGTAAACGTCTGCAGTTTTTGATTATGGGCGCACAACATACTAAGGAGCGTCCGCGTCGTACATATCACCCGAAACTTGATCATGAATTGCAAATAAACACACGTACGTTATTCTGCTTTTAAAAATGTACCTATCGAATGCTTTTCTATTTAATACATGTAAAATCAAGTTTCAGAAGTGATTTTTATTGATATATTACAGTTAACGTGATTATTTAATTCGTCATTTTACGATGATAAACTTTCTCACGTTTGTATTAGTAAACTGTTCTTTGGTAGTTAAGGGATGGGATGCTGTTTCAATAATCTTCTCTACCCACAAAATATTAAAGCACTGTTCTGTGAGGGGAACAAACTTAAGTTTATCGGCAGTGTAGGATTGTACAATGCGATTAAAGCTACCGAGTTTGACCAATTCCAGGGATCTAGTAACTGGACCCTAGCTTTAAATGACTAATTTATAAAGCCTAGTAAGTTAGTACCTCTAGTTCTTATCGATGAGTTCGTTGCTCGAATGACTTGTCTCTAAGCTCTTCACATGACGTCATTGCATTTGTATCTCGTCCTGCGAATATAACGTGGGTAGAAGTTTACGTAAAAGCGATACTACGGGACCCTCGCTAGTTGTACAAAACATTTTATTTCTAAATGACTAGAAATTCGCTGTTAAACTAATAATTCAGAATTCGAAATCTGTAAGAAATGGTATGGCATCCTTAAATGTGGTCGATCTTATCCAACTGCTTTGCAGCAGTTTATCTGTTAGTTTTAGAGGCCTTTACATTTCATTCTTCCAAAATGTATCAGTTTGCATTTTCTATTTGGTTTTCGAGGTCGGTAGAGTCTATTTATTGCTATCTATTTGAACACAAATATTGGTACAAAAGGGGCACTGAATGTATATGCCTCTTTTGTTCCATCAGGACAATGGAACCCATGTGCATTATTGGTTTGGGATCAAGGTTTTCCAACTCCCCTCGGTAGATCCTCCATATCCACCAACCCGGTCAAAGCACCGGACATTCGCTTTTCGTCCTCTCAATTTCGTAAACAACACCCCTGCCTCAAAGAGGCAATATAACTTCCCTGTCAGTAGCTATACACGTGTGGCTATGCGAGAGAATTTTGAGAGGGACAGCTGACTATCTCTACCTTCGGCCTTATCGGGGCCGACTGAAAAGTGAAATTTTGGTCAGTAGATGCTATTTTTCAATCATAAAAGTTTCGAAATTCAAGAATTCTTAAAACATTTTGGAGTGGTTAAATAGAACAAACAGTGCAATCTCGAATCGTCATTGGTTGCATAAGTGGGGTAGGCTAAAAGTAGTATAATGCGATCGGTAGCACACAGGCTACCAAGTACGTTTTATGTGACTGGAGCGGTTCAAGTCATGTCGCAAGTGCGTGTGACAGCATCTGACTGCAAGCACTATGCATCATATGCTAGTTGCTGTGCAATTTTAAAAACCACATCCAGTTGTTAGACACTTTGGGTAACGTGGTTTAGAATAGGTTACAGTGGCACAAATACCTTTATATCTTTAGATTTCAAGTTCCAGATTTCCTTCGTATATACCTTTTCTTTCTGTCTATTTGAACTTTATTCTCATTGCCTATTCCTATTACTCTTGTTGCTAAATTATTTCAGTTGCTCCTCTATTCATCATATCGATCTTGCCAATGTATTGCATCGACTTGGATCAGTGAATATTTGTTCCAGACTCTGCGTTGACGACAACTAACTGGTAGTTTCGTCCGCACCCCTTAAACTGTAACTGTCTCTGAGACTAATGTAATATTTGTTCTATTCATGAATAACATTGACTTCCTCCTTGCTACGAGGTATGAAATGAGTGTCACACGTCTGTCACACAAGTACAATCAGGAGTAACTCAATTATGGGTCGAAAATAACCGCAGTTTATTGCACTAATTTATATGGGGTAATACAACCCTTTGTCGAGCGTTTTTCTGGCTTTAGCTCTAATAGCTATTTTTGACTTTAAGACTTAGCCATTTTCAGAGTAGTAATTAATTGTTCATAATCCATTTCCTAATTCACATTCTTAAAATTGACCTGATCATGTATTTGCTCGGCTTTATTATCGTTTAACTTCCACCAAACACTAGGTTTCTGGAGGATATGTTGAACTATGCTAACTCATAATAAGTTAAATTCTTAATATTAGATCTAAAGTTTTCTAATTTTGTGTATGGTTTTTCTAGCTACATCTTGGATCCAAAATCACAACCCTACAACGAACTTCAAAGTTTCTGTAGCGCACACATCTCAGATAAATCAACCCAGTGATCAACTATTAATAGCTTTGTTTGATTTCATTCCACCAAATACACCAGAAAACCAGTCACAAATTAGAGTAGAGAAAGGTAAAGTTTGTATTGACTTTATGTGTCTACGTTGTTTACCATAATTAAGCCTGGTAAAAATTTGACTTTTTCTAGTACCGAGTAATCACTATTATTATTTTATTATCAGAAAACCTTTAAAAGTAGGACACCATTAATTGTATCACACAAGATGTAGCAGTAGGTTTGCGAACAAATGACAACATATATAAATGATGTTGGTTTCAATAGTAAGTCTTACTGTTTATGTAGGCCTTAGCAGAAAATTGAGACAGGATCACCACTGAGATGTGCAATGTTTGGAGTTTCAAGACAATGGGGTTGACGTTTTGGGATGATAATAAGCCACCACCATACTCAAAAGTGCACTTTGCATAACTTAGCGTTTTAACTAAATGTGAGCAGTCCTTCGAAGACAGTGATCAGATACAATGGTTCCTACCAACACTCTCAGTTATTCGTATGTATGAACTCGACCGTTTCCTACGACTAATAATCAAGGATGAGTGTAGAAAGTTCCTTCCAGTTTTGTTGAAATACTAAACACTTCGGTGTTGCACGTGCATACCATACTTAAGAGTTTTAATCGACAATGTATTCAAGTTGAATGGGTTAAATGATGTCATCGCATAGTAAAGCGATATCAAAGGTGTAAAATCTGAATAATAAATTCACAACATCTAGAACTCTTATTACAGCTGTTACTAAAGTGTAATCAAGCTTTGAGTGAGGCGGCGGATTAGTTTCACCAGTATTAAGGTTTACATCAGTACGCCTTGGGTTCAGATCTCTCTCCATCTACCTCGATTGCGTCGCTTGATCACATAATGTCTTCTTCAGGTGATTGCACGAACTTGCACTTGACTTTAACTCATCTACCAAGTACATATTTATTTACTCGGTTTATAGCCATACCTTGTACAAAAGTTTGACTTACTACTTGATTATCCAAATGAAAGTATGTGGAAATGGATTCAAACCATTGGCTTGCATTTAGTACGTAAGTAATATTGAGTTCAAAGAACTATGATATGGTTGTACTTTCCTTTCTTACTCCACTTTTAGTGTAAACTAGTAAAAAAGGGTATATTTCCTGTCTATTTGATGTGTTTTCGAGTTTTCCCCGCGATACTGTTCTCACTGTAAATGCCAGATCGCACTCCTACCCGACATATTAATGACTGCTTTAATGTCAAGTACTACTGTTGACCCACAGTTCGTGTGACAGTGTGAAAATATGTACGTTTTCAATGGATTTACGACTGAGATAAAACTTGGCAGTGTGAGGTCAGTATTTTAAAATAAGCTGACAGCAGAATATTACCTTACTTTACCATTCTGTTGCCCTTTAGGAGTCCGAGATCTGACTCCATTTAGGTCGTATGAATGATTGTTGATGAAATATACATGTCTCCAATCCTCACATATAATCACCGACTTAAATGGTGTTGGTGAATAATGGAGTTAAATAAGTCAAATACGAGGATGGATTTCGAAGACGTATATTTCATACAATCGTTAATCCAGACAAACGATCGAAGGAACAAAGCGAAGAGAAGAGGAAGAAGCGAAATGGCGTCCAGTGGAGAAGTCATGTCAGCCTACTCGATTTTTAATCAAGCGTTAATCGCTATTTGTCGTCAGGCATGTGATGAGTAAGATAGGGAATACGCATGCATGCGCTTACATAAAAAAGTCAAGGCTGATAAGCGAATAATTAACAAGGTCAAAATGTGACTCACGAATGATGAATAATTTGGTTTGTCCCGGAAGCTAGAATAAGCTATATGGGCTTAATATATCAACCAACACTACAACCCCCTTTTAATGAATACCAACATAAGTTGTTTCTTGTATCTATCTCAACGTTTTTGCTGAATATTCTTTTTAAGTGGTTCCGTATCAACGGACCATAAAACAAGAAAATTTAGTCGATGTTTTCAAGGCATTGGGATAACCAAACCTTCTTAAGACTTTCAACCAGGCTTCCAGGTACTATTGAAGATTGTTTAGAGGTCCCCGTAATTTGCCCAAATTATCTCATAAGTATAAGTTCTGTTACTACTGATGGCTTAGATAAGTTTCCAGTGCTTGTTAAGTCCAACTACTAGAATAGAGCGTTCCACATTAAGAAATCATTTCTAGAAGCTTACTGAAATCAGATACATATCAACAAATTATATTATAACGTTTTTTTGTCTCAGTTGCTCGATAAACCTTATTTGACTCAAAATATGGGGTCGGGTGCTTATGAGCAGAGTTTGTGGCTATGATAAGTCTAAAATAATTCACTTTACTCCATCAACCAGGATTAGTTTCACTTTTTTAATTACAGCTGATAATAAAACTCATCTGCAAGCCTGTGTCAATGTAGTTAATTTCTCATGCTTGGAAATTCTAGCATTGCCATTTTAGTCCCTGAGATACTATAATGTTTAAACTTAATTTAGGCTCCACTTACCGTTTAGATGTTTTGGAACCTCCCATTTCTTCATATTTAGTACCTACTTTGTTTCCGCTATGCTTTAAATTAGGCGATCGTCTACAGCTGTTTGGTTACAGTGCAGATGGTGATTGGTCAGACGTTGAATGTATACGAACTAATGAACGTGGTTGGATACCAACAAACTATACAGGTCGCATTCCTGTTCCTCCTAATGATCACGGTACAGCTTTGAATACTGGATCAGCTTCCGGCAGTTCACTTACTTTCCAACATACTAGTAGTCACGATGTTAGTTGTAGCGGTAGTCAAGGAAGTTTGGCTGGAGTAGGGCTGGAGTCAGAAAAGTGGTATCATGGTGCTATTCAGCGAAGTTATGCAGAATATTTACTCAATAGTGGAATCACAGGAAGTTTTCTCATCAGGGAATCAGAAAGTCATCCAGGTCAGCTCACAATAAGTCTTCGTTATGAAGGACAGATATGGCATTATCGTATCCATCGTGATGATTCTAACATGGTAAGTTTTTTTACATATATATATATATCCTTAAAACGTAGATACTGATAAAAAGAGAAAAAAGTAATCATTATAGTTAAAAAAAACTTATTGCTTGAAATTCTCGGATGTTTGAAGTGGAGAATTCCAGTTAAATACATCATTTACAATGTCATCAAATTTGTGATACAAGAATATCCAGTTGACATTTCTCAAACTAGACTAAATATGTGTTTGGTACTTTACTGTTAGCTGCCACCAAGTTACTCCAGTTAGTTCGGCTAACCGAATTAACGTTCTCGTCCAATTTTCGGATTTTTTTGTTTTATGCAAATAAAGTTAAAACATTTTTATCAACGCTTTTTTTACACAGATGATCCATGTTTGTTAGTCGTATAGGCCTTTGTTCTAGTGATTTCATGGATAATATGCTAAACCAGCAATCAAAGCCGATTATCAACAGATTTCCAGTACTTTCCTTGTTACTCTTCTAGAAATAAATTATTCTGATTTTCGTGTCGCATTCATAGTAAAGTAAGTACAAGTTTCGTGTGCTATTTGTTAAGCCACATGATATGAGGGGTAGTAATTGTACTGGTCTACTTGAGCCTAAGTAAATAGAGCGGGCTTCGAAATCGTAACCTGGTAGTTGAAAGCCGAATGGCTTGAATACCAAGCTCTACTGTATGAATTAAGTTGCCACTCTTTGCACATTTCTCATTGATTTTCAGCTCATTAGGTAGCCTGTGAATTAGTCATTTCAAATAAACTTTTTAGATAAGTACGGTTTCCGATTTTTTATACCATTCCTTCATTTTTTCTTAGTATTACGTTATTGAATCCAACAAGTTTACATCAGTCTCTGACCTTGTACATCATCATGAGAAGCATTCAGATGGTCTGGCCTGTACATTATTATATCCAGCACCTAAACGAGACAGAACAAGTTCAGAGCTACGCATGGATCCCAGTTTCGATATACGTGAGATAGATCGGACCGAAATAGTTATGAAACATAAATTAGGTAAGTCCACGTTTCGTTATAAATAATCTTTGATAGCTCGTCATGAAACAGAATGATCATTTAACCTATGTTTATTTACTTATTTCCTGATACATTAACGTTTCTTTTTATCTTTCATGCAGTTTTATGAAGTGAAAATGTCTTCAGTCGTTAGTGTATAACAGATTTAAACTTATGTTTGATATCTGATCTCTGTGTGTATAATCACGCTCTCAGCTATTTTCCTTTTGTACATTCTCATTGATGATGAGTTTATTCCTGCAAATACTGGATTACTGCACTATTGTACATCGTATTTCTTTACCAAATTATTATTCTTTCCTTATTTGAAATAGGAAACTTTTAGTGGATCTGGAAAGTAATCCATTGATGTGGATGTAAGGCACATAACAATGAAAAAAGCTAACATTTTAGAAGCATACAGACTAAAAACTTGTGTTTAAAGCGACTTATGTGGTAGAGAGCACAATAAATTCATCGTATTCCATAATAATTTTCTATATATATATATATATATATATATATATATATATATATATATATATACTTACTCCTGTTACTCCTCGTAAAGGAGCATAGGCCGCTCACCAGCATTCTCCATCCAACCCTGTCCTGGGCAATCCTTTCTAGCTCCGTCCAGTTGTAATTCATCCTTTTCATATCTGCTTCTATTATCCGACGCAATGTGTTCTTTGGCCTTCCTCTTTTTCGCTTCCCTTCAGGATTCCAAGTTAGGGCTTGTCTCGTGATGCAGTTTGACGATTTGCGTAATGTATGTCCTATCCATTTCCATCGTCTTTTCCTAATTTCTTCTTCAGCTGGAAGCTAGTTTGTTCTCTCCCACAGAAGACTATTACTGATGGTATCCGACCAATGGATGTTGAGTATCTTGCGAAGACAGCTATTTATAAATACTTGTACTTTCTTGATTGTGGTTGTTGTAGTTCTCCAAGTTTCAGCTCCATACAGTAGAACTGCCTTGACGTTCGTATTGAAGATTCTCACTTTGATATTGGCTTGTAGGCAGTTGTTTTGAGTTCCATATGTTCTTCAATTGAAGGAATGCGACCCTTGCTTTGCCGATCCTCGCCTTTACGTCTGCATCGGATCCTCCTTGTTCATCGATGATGCTTCCCAGGTATGTGAAGGACTCCACATCTTCCAGAGTTTCGCCATCAAGTGTGATTGGATTGCTGTTCTCCGCTTTGAATTTGAGGACCTTAGTTTTCCCTTTGTGTATGCTGAGGCCTACTGATACAGAGACTGCTGCTACACTGGCTGTCTTCACCTGCATCTGTTCGTGTGTATGCGATAGGATGTCTAGGTCATCTGCGAAGTCCAAATCGTCTAATTGATTCTGAGCTGTCCATTGTATGCCGTGTTTTCCTTCAGATGTTGAGGTCTTCATAATCCAGTCGACCACCAAAAGAAAGAGGAAGGGAGAGAGTAAACAGCCTTGTCTGACTCCGGTCCTTACTTGGAATGCATCTGTCACCTGTCCTCCATGCACTACTTTGCACTGTAGTCCGTCGTATGAGTTCCGGATAATATTGACAATCTTCTCAGGAACTCCGTAGTGTCGAAGAAGTTTCCATAATGTCCTCCTATCTACACTGTCGAATGCCTTTTCATAATCAATGAAGTTGATGTATAGTGATGAGTTCCACTCAACTGATTGTTCGACGATGATCTGTAGTGTTGCAATTTGGTCTGTGCACGACCGATCCTTACGGAATCCAGCTTGTTGATCTCGAAGTTGGACGTCTACTGCATCCTTCATCCGGTTCAGCAACAATCTGTTGAAGACTTTCCCTGGTATTGACAGTAGTGTAATGCCTCTGTAGTTTTCACATTTGCTCAGATCTCCTTTCTTTGGAATCTTGACGAAGTGTCCTTCTTTCCAGTCCATCGGCACTCTGTATATATATATATATATATATATATATATATATATATATATATATATATATGGATCTTAATACATGGAGTTATTCATCTGGCTAGTGGTCTTGTCTTTGTTTTCTAATCATTCGGAGGCTCAAGTCAATTATACGGTTTCGTGAATAGTTGTCGCTCAGTCACATTATTATCCGTCCGTTAGCATTCTATTCATTGATTTTAACTATCGAGATCTCTTCTAAACAAATTCGCAAAAAACCTTTATACCATCACATTACCCATAAATTTATCAGAAAAACGATTCTGGTCAGGGATTTCTTTACTCTATAGAAATCTGTTTCACTGCATAATTTTAATATCACTACACTCCTATCATTATTATTCTCACTTTTGAACTAAATTAAGTGTTTGCTTTCAAATTTAATGTAGATTTCTCCATTGTTCCATTCAAGCAGTGTGGTAAGACTGGATTGTCCAATCACAGCACTCCTCTTCAACTTTGCCATCGATGACATTCTGGAAACAGCTGATGGATGTAAGTAATGGCGGTGTGGATCTGTTGCCTGGAGAAAGACTTCTCGACCCTGAGTATGCGGATGATATTTTCTTACTGTGGGATAATGCCCAAGCCATGCAATCCGCACTTAATCACTTGCTAATTAGTGTCCGTAGGTATGGTATGTGCTTTGCATCTCCGAAGTGCAAAGTACTTCTACAAGACTGGCAGGATTCTAATCCTGTATTCACCCTGGATGGTGAGCAGATAAAAGTAGTCGAGAAGTTCGTGTATCTGGGTAGCTGCATAAGTGCTGGTTGTGGCGTGAGCGATGAGATCAATGCACGTATAGTGAAAGCCAGAGCGGCTTATGCCAATGTGGGCCATGTTTGGCGCCTTCGTGATGTCAGTCTGTCTGTAAAAGGTTGGATCTACAACGCGTCGGTGAGAGCAGTTCTGCTGTATGCTTGTAAAACCTGGCCTCTCCGAGTTGAGGACGACTCTCTGTGTTCGATCACCGCTGTCTCCGAAGGATTGCTGACATTCAGTGGCAACACCATGTTAGTGATGCAGGGGTTCGGCATCGTTTGTTCGGGCACAAAGATGATAATCCGATTGGTGTCACCATCTTGAAACGTCGACTTCGGTGGCTTGGATATGTTCTATGAATGTCGTCCCAGAGAATTCCACGTCGTGCATTATTTGGCGACTCTGGGACTAGTTGGAAAAAGCGGAGAGGTAGTCAGTGTATGAAATGGTGTCGTGGTATGAAAGAAAGCTGCACGGGACTGGCTTGTGTTGGTCCTTCACGACTCCGTGGCTGGGGTCCGAGAGATGGTGCGACACAGTGGGTAGAGACGTTATCAGGAATGGATCAGAATAGAAGCCAGTGGCGATCCTGCTGTAACCCTCGTTTACTTTTTTCATAAAAAGTGGTTGTATCTTCCTCAAGTGAAAGAATTTTTCTGTTTGTACCTTTCTGTTTCCCCCATTATTATTATTATTATTATTGCACTACCTTACACTACTCTTTTCTTTTTTTTCTTATACTCATCTTACCTTCTTTTTGCTCTTCCGATTGTCATTGTTTTGTGTGGCGCATGTATATTTGGTGCTCTCTTGTATCAATATTTATGTGTTCAAATAAAATTATAAACAGAATTCGATGAGCGACCACTTATCTAGTGAATTTTGAATCGTCCTTTATTTGATCATTGAAGTTTGACGTTTATCAATACTGTTTTCGACAAAAGTTAAGGTTATTCACTCACTCACTACTGTAGAGTTCTGAAGCGAATTTAACTAAACTTTCTATTTTGAACACATTAAATGGTAACCGAAAAGTGATTGTATTGGTTAAGGTGCATCTATTTATTGTTTTTTCTTTCATACACCTTTTCATTTCTTATCATATTTTTACACTATCCTTTACCTACATGCCAATAAAGCTCTGTTTTTTCTTCGTGTAAGTTAACAAGAGAAAGTTGTTGCATGTTCATGAAATAAATCTGAAAATACATCAATCAATGTTAACTAATAAAGTCATTATTTATTAATTTAATAGTTGGTTGTTTTGCAACTATAAGTATGGTCCAGTTAATGTTCATGTAAGTAAAATCTTATCGATGACAAAGGTACTTCTAATCAAAATAATTTACACGATTTCAGCCACTTCGACTTTACTGATAATATTTGATTCATATTATATGCTGTTTATATAGACTCTATACTTCGGTCAAACCCAAAAATCTTATCCTGTAGTGTTGTGCTAAGAGTTATTTCTTCGTGACTGATGAATTTCTATCATTTGGAGCGTAACATTTGTTCGCAACACCTTAATATGGATTGGCGTATAATCAGTAACTATTAAGAATATTCAACATAACGTTTATTTGAACTATATTCAGAAAAATGGACTTATTCAGTATAGGCACTTAAAAAGTTTATTTTAATATTGAGATTAAAATACAAATATAAATTAACCTTTTCTTGCAATTGATGGACAGCAACATTATATTTAAAGTGTGCAATTTCGGTAGGACTAGCATTTAACATTCATGCTTAATTATTCTATATGACTAGTAATTTGATTAATTCATTTCCAACTATTTGTTTTTCTGATTTACTGATTACAGATGGTTCTCTTGAAATTATATCATTTTGATATTTTAGCTATTAAATAAAGTAGTCTGTAAGAGAGTTTGGTTATTGAGTCACTACTCACATGCTAAAATAATGCATAAATATCCGTGTAAATAATGAGCACTAAGACAGTTATAGTCTGAACTTGAAGCGAAACAATGCGATTGAGCTTTTCTAAATGTTTTCACTTAACCAGTGTGCATCTCTTCCTGTTTATCAAATCATCTAAACTTAACTATATTTATGTTCATGTATCCTAAGGATTTCTCAATTTATATCTACATTTTATCATCTTTAGGTTACTGAACTTTATTAATTTGTCCATATTATTGGTAGATGTACCAGAGTATTTTTCATTCAGATATGATTTTCCTGCACTTAGATGTTTTTATCAGAATTCAAGAGTAACAAATATTCTTGGATTTTAGACTATTTATAATCTTAATAACTACACCATCAATCCATCGAAATCGATCAAGCTTCAGAGTTGCTATTATTCAACAGAATATCTAATCAATAGTCGAGGCATCTTGTGTATTTATTAAAGTGATTACACATTTTATTAGATAAGTATTTTACGATTCCCTTTCTTAACATTGACCTTTTCTTGTTTTTTTCTCGATAGATTTTCTTATTAATTAATTAATTCGATTCATGCGTTTTATAGCAGCTTCCGCCATTGATTTTTTAAGGTCACTCTTCCATTTTTTTTACTATGGTGTCCTGTTTCTGATCTTTCATCTGCAATAATTATTTTATCACTGAATCACTGTGTACGTGTGTGATTTGGTTACGTTGATGTATAATTTCTTGTAAAATGTAATGATAATAATAAAAGTGATCCTATATAAAGTGTTGGTCATATGTTAATGGTACTGTGTGGTGAAATTTCAACGTTAATTATTCTGTTGTCACCTACGCGTATTCGGCTTCAGTTTATGTATACTAATAGTGTCACTTTATTTAGTCATCTGACTATTCGACACTTCACGTCTGTCTATTTCATTTATTTTGATGCATGTTGATTTATAGTATCACTAGTGTCCGCATAATTGAATACATAAATCTATGTCGTATCGTACATTATTAATTACGAATTTAAGGCATCTATTTTCGTTTATACATTTAAAAATTTTTTATTATAAAGCTATATGGAGATTGTTCAGTTGTAGGCCTCACATTACAGACTGACTTTAGTTAGACAACCAGTGGAAATCAGACAGCGTCAGGCAGTTATTTTCTCTGAGTATGAACCTTAGCAAAGAGCATCAACGACTCTACTAAATATCGAAATATGTTGTTAAGTCGTAATCTTTGTCGGATTGTGTTCTACTCATTTTTTGTAGTGTTTCACTTCATTCATATACTCTGTTGAATTGTTAAATAAATATTCAGAGAATAATGGAAACGTATCCATGTATGTCGATTTCTCTCTTTGACAATGCGACCAGTTCCTCGATTGATTTAACTGAAGTTCCAAACAACACTTTATAAAATATGTAATCACAAATAAAGTAAATATATGAAATGAAAGAAATTAACTTGATAGAAGACATTAAATCACTGGAGTTTTCATCCGAGAACAGAAATAAGTACATTAAGTCGTAGTAATGAGATGACATTATGCTTTTTTTTCTGAGTTCTATTGTGGCGTATGCTGATTTTGTTGACAGATATAAGTAGTATTTAGCAGCTATCGTAAGTGGAATGCTTGCCAGCAGAAGAATGAGGTGATTGAATTGAAGAGAACAGGGACAGAAATAGAAAACAATTGTAACAACAACAGGACTGAGAGAATCATGACTCATGTAAAAGACAAATAATATATTTAATGTATGGTTTTCAGATTTTACGAAAACACTGTAATTTTGCTTTGATCAATAAATTGGTTCTCCTCACCTTAGTCTCATTCACTGCACTATGCTCACAACGAAGATTATAGTCCAAATCAACAGTGTTCTTAGGTGTTATTTACTCTAAGGGTTTTTTTAATGACCATGATAAAAATCACTTTCATTATAAGCGAATTTTAGCCGTGCTATCTGTAAGTCAGATCAGTGAGTAGTTATGTTACTCAATAATCATTTACTGGTTTATGTATTTGTCTGTTAATCATACTTGTGTGAGGGTTGTTAACGATTCCACTCAGCTACCATAATTATAGCTGGTTGAATTTCGAATATCCAAACCAGTAAGCCGCAACTTTTTACTGAACTTCGATAATATTTGAATGATTTGCTTGTTGATCTCAATTGTTCTTATATGAGTTTGAAATTGTTGATTTCAGAAGTTATGTTTTTTTAGGAATCTAGTTTCCTTTACAGTAACATCGTATAAGTGAAATATTATATTCTCTAAGTGCCATGTACCAGTATAAACTCGCTTCCTATTTTCCTAATGATTTTAATTTGTTTATACTTGTCATCTCTACCACCATTTTATGACAAAAGCTTAAAACCAACCGATCGAGAATATCCTGCTTAATTAGAACTCCTTATGATGTTGTACACATATGTTTTCATTTTAGACTACTTATCTTTATTATTTTACGGACTTTTTAATTTCAGGATCAGGACAGTATGGTGTAGTATATGAGGCTGTATGGAAACCTTATAATGTATTAGTTGCTGTTAAAACACTTAAGGTACGAGTTTACCCACTGCAATAACATTTTAACTAAATATTCTCTAATTTAGTTTTTATTTTGATAATCCTTTAACTGTTACATATTCTACTCAACAAGTTGAGTGAATAATGCCGTTTAGATATGAGTTTATCCCTATTAAATTTTCTAATAGTGTTTTAAACTAATTCATAGCATTAGGTTTATAGAAGCCGGTGAATACTTTAAGAATTCTGCTCTGAGCTACTGGTTAGTAGGGACTTTAGTATCATCCAGTACGTTGTCATTATGGTAATTCCAAACAGTCAATAAGGCGAAATGATTGTGCATGATTATTTATATCTTTCATTTGCTCCTGAGTTCAACCTGACCGATCCACTTTAAATGGTATGTACACAAAATAAGTTTGATTCGTGATAATTTATGTTACTGTTCATAGGATCGAAGTACAAAGACATGGTTGACTGATGTTCTTATGAACCAACTACGCTGATTTCTTATTAATGTTTTACTGAGTTATTAATAATCCATTCTATTGATGTTTATAAGTGAAATCCTCAATAACCCTCTGCGTGCGTAAAATCAGTAAACACACGTTGCACACAACTACCTATTTTAGATTTGTCTACTGTGACCGACTGTTCTATATAAATAACCTAATATCACATGCTGTGTTACTTAGTGGAGTTAGTGTATTGGTTTATAAATATATCCTACCCATTTCAGTCGATGAAACCTTTAATAAGCATTTCGACATTTCTTTTATCCTGTAGTTAGTTGGTGGTACTTAAGAAAAGTTCAAATAATCTTTTGTATTCCAGAGATTTCACTAATCACAGCCTCACTATGATAAATGGGATCTCTTATTTAAATGTAGTAGTTTTATGATACACACTACTTATTCTTCTATTATCTTACTGTTCTTTTACTAAGGATGGATGGAATCTCTTATCTAAATGTAGTAGTTTTATGATACACACTACTTATTATTCTATTATCTTACTGTTCTTTCACTAAGGATACTTAAGTAATTCTGCTTTTAGCTTTACTGTTCGAGTTTTTGCTTTTGCTGGCCAAAATCCTTTAAGTCTCCATTAGTTTCTTTATCTTTTACATATTGTCCTTTTTCAATCCTATTTACAAGCTATATTACTTACAAGTAGTTGTACAGCAAGATTTTTTTTGGGAAGACAATAAAAGCATGCGTCAAGTATGGTTGAAATGTTATTGAGAAATGATGGAGATATTGTAGTATATTATTAGTTTGGACTCAATTGTCTAAAGTTGGAATCATTCCAATTTTTTAGGTAATATGACGAATATTTTTTGTGTGCTAATAGTTTTTCATTTCACCCATTTTATTTATGAGTTGACGATTGTTGAAATGTAGTTTGTTTTGATGATTCGATCCTGAATAAGTATATGCTATGTGTTTCTTAAAAAATTTTCCAGGAAAATGTCACAGTTCGTGATGAATTTTTAGAAGAGGCTCGTTTGATGAAAAGCTTAAGACATCCAAATCTTGTGACTTTGTTAGGTAAGTAAGCAGAATTTTTCTGCGAGTTTTACTAACACATTTTTCCTCGATTCATTCCAAATAATCGAAAACATATAACTTGCACTTCATAGTTTACATTATAGACTGACTTTAGTTAGTGGCAAACATTGAAAACTAGGAAGAACTATTTCACTATCAAAACGTTTGATCTGGATGAAGTCACTTTTTTCAAATGTATACTGCTAGCTCTAAGTATGGTTTATTTAATATTATTTATTTAAACGCATAAACATTGGTACAAGGAGGCACCAAATATATATGAGCCACATAAATCGAATGATTTGGATTTGTGTGAGGCCTGGAATACTGTCCGGGTGCCCAAACTCAGTTTATGTTGACTTGGCACCATTTGCAAATTGTTTTTGCAGTAAATGTAAGCTTCACATATTCTCTATGAATGTGTTGTCATCAATTACTGTCAGATGATACATCATTTATTAGATGTTCATAATCCATTCTTTTAATTTATCATAACAACTACGAGCCACTTGCAAATTTTCTTTTAAATTTTTTCTCCAAAGGTGCATGTACTCGGGAACCACCTTATTATATTGTCACAGAATTTATGTGTAATGGGAACTTGTTAGATTATTTGCGTACACATCCTAGAACAGAATTAACACCTTCAGTTTTATTACATATGGCAACTCAAGTTGCTAGAGGTATGGCTTATTTGGAACAACACAACTTTATACATCGGTGAGTTGTTTTGGTTGTTTATGTTCAATCCATGATTTCTCATGCCACTGTTTTTTTAAAATTTCTAAATTAAAACTGATTTTACTCACTTTAATGTAGATATTATCTTGTATAAAATTAAACAAAAGTGAACTAATTTATTATTAAATAATAACTACCACTCATAATTATGGTTTAGTTTTCTGTTCATTTATCTGTGTTATCTTTTATGATTATTAAATTTTAAACGTTGTATTCACGAATCGATCTAATCTAGATCATCATTGAAAACCTGGAGGTACTGGACTGTTTAAAATACTACAATCTCCACAGATCCCCATACTGATGATAATCATGTACTCACTAGTGACTAGCTTCAAGATGGATTTCCTAGAGTTTTAGTGAGAAACGGTGACCAGTGAAGTCCAGTCCGTTTCCAGTGTGAGACAGCTATCCATCTCAGGCAATGGATGAAGAGTTGCACAAGATCATGAATCGATCAAAGTTAGACATTAAGACTGTTGGATGCTGACTTAGTGCTCTAGAGGTTGAGCGTTCACGTGCGCGACGGAATGTCCTGGGGTGGTGTCCCGAGTACGGGATCGTGGGTGCTCACTCCTGAGGAGTCCCACATTAGGATGAGACGACCTTCCGTTGCTTCCAGGTTTTTAATGGCGGTCTGGCTGAGATCGACTCGTGAATTCAACTGTTAAAACTACAATCTCCACAAATCCCCACACTGATAAAATTTTTTAGTGATTTGCATACACTTTATTTTGATTCCTTATTACAAATAAATTATACGACTTCTATATAGATCTGAGAAGTAACACTGAAACTGACAACAGACAATAGTAATTACTATTGCTTATCACCTATTGGATTCATGCAATAATTTCGATTCAGTAATAGCTATTCACTTATTGTGTTAATATTCATTAATAACCATATAGTTTATAGTTTTCATTGATGAACTTTTCATATTTGATCTATACTAACTGGCATTTTTGAAGTACACTTAGTTTATATTTATTTATCCGAACTATCGTTTGATTACATCCACCGACTTTCAAAATAGTTATTACAAGTTACTGAGATGAATTATTACTTTAGGTGTATAATATAATTTATGGTTATTAATACAGTCAGACATGCTACAGATTTGTATTATAACTTTGTTACTGAAGCTTTACAGGAAGCACATTCTACATCCATATATATTTGACGTAACATTGTACTTTCTCCAAGGGTTTATCATGTATAACGTTCTCGAAAAAATTATAGGTTTCATATTGTATACGTGACATAAGCACTTTTTTAGCTTGAATATATCAATCATACTGTGAAAGTGAGTATTTTTTCTTAACTTTGATTTTTTTCCCATTCATCTGAATCCTAGAGTCTAGTTAACATGTTTTAATTATTCTAGTAAATAAAATTCCCTATTTTGTCGCTTGAGCCTAGTTATTATACATTCATTATTTAGTGGTGGATAATAGCAAATGAAACAATAATACCCCTACATACTGTCGAAATACAATAAATTAAATGATACATTAGTTAATTTTTCTTTCTGATCCGTTTAAAATTAATTATGATACAAGTATCAATCAAATGTTATCCTGCACATCATAATGGTACAGTAAAAATTGTAATTGAATGGAACAAGTAATCGATAAGATTATAACACTAGCTCAATTAAGTTGGAAAACCCTGATTCCAAATCAATGGTGCACATGGGCTCCAGAATCCTGAGGGAATAAATGGCGTATGAACCAATTATTGGTCACCGGCTACTATGGGACTGTATCTCTTGACATTGCTCCACTGCCTTTTTTGGATCAGACCTTTAGGTTGAAGGCTCCGGGTGTGAACCTCTAAGAAAATCACCTACTTCCGCCTGGGCACCTGAGCAATATCACAGCCCTGACGAACTGAATGGGTTGTGTGGCACATATATATTTGGTTCCCCCTTGTACCAATGTCTATGTGTTTGAATAAATAAATAAATGCAATGAACGTATATAAATAAGACTAATGAATGTCTCCGACTGAGATCGATCAGTAATCACATCATTTAAAATTTTTGATGAACTACCTAAAAACAATTTGTCCAGTTTACATTTTATAATTACAACTTTTCTACTCCTATTATTACGATAATGTTGAGGAATAGAGCTAATTTTAATGCTGTTTTAAATACACGTTGATTAGATTTAGGATGTAAGTACAAAAACTACTCTCAATACTAACAGCGTAACATTTCAATTTAGAGAGAAATTGAAAAAGAGTCTTTGGATGAACGTTTATACAATCCCACGAAAACATTGTTATGAAAAAACTCGCGAAAAATTGTCTAAAACCGTGAAGATTTATAATATGAATATTAAAGCAGTTGAAAATCAAGTTTAGAAATTCATTATTCTATATTTGTTATTTAAACACAAGGAAGCACTAAATATATGTGCCACACTTTACCATTCCATTTGTGTGAGGACAGGGATAATGCTCGGATGTCCAAACCGATGCAGGTGGTTTACTTAGAGGGTCACTCCCCGAACCTTTGACCTAGAGATCCTCAAGAAATACCCTTCCACGGTATGGGCAGCCGGGAAGTAACACTAGCCCTCTTACCCATAACAACACACGAGACCAAGTTGGTCACATTCAAATCCTCCCTACACCTCCTCATACCTCTCTTATCTCCACGACTAACCCTTCTCACGTCCCTTTATCACCCCGCACAGCTAGGGCAAACGGTTCGAGTACGCCGAACGTTATTCCTGGTCTCCTGAAACCACTCTCTAAACTTCATGTTGGAGCTTATAACGTACGAACACTGTGCCAAATAGGACAACAGGCGTCCTTAGCTAGGACTTTAGAATCTCGCGCCATCGATGTGTGCTGCGTCTCCGGAACGCGCATACAGGATCCGAGTAGCGTCATTCACTTGACATCACCATGTCAAAACAAAGAACCAACTCGATTCACACTTCGTGTATCTGGAAGCCCAGATGCTGCTTCTCGTGGCGTCGCCGGCGTAGGTATAGCATTGAGTCCTAGGGCAGAACTAGCTCTCTTAGACTGGATCCCAGTAGACAGTCGTTTGTGCGCTGTCCGACTAAACGGAACAATAAGGACTCGGAAAGATAGGGTCACTCGTCGTTGTCTCTTCGTCGCCTTTGCCTATTCTCTCACTGACTGCAGCTCAGATGATGTAAAAGATGAGTTTAACAGAAAGCTCTCCGACCTCCTCCTAAAAGCTAAGCGCTCGGATGTAGTAATAGTGGCCGGTGACTTTAATGCTCAAGTAGGTAAACTAAGCGATAGGGAAAGACACCTAGGTGGATCTTATAGTGTCGTGGCTCAAAGAACAGATAATGGCGAGCGTCTGCTGCAGTTATGCTCAGATAACCGCCTTTTCCTTGCAAATACTAACTTTAAGCATAAGGAAAAACATCTTTTAACATGGCGACCCCCTAATTCGTCCCAACGTTGGACCCAAATAGATCACATCGCTATCAGCCACTGATGGAGGGGCTCGATAGAAGACTGTCGCTCATTCTGGAGCACATGCCTAGATTCAGATCATGCTCTAGTGCGAGCGTGCATTTGCTTGCGTCTTACTGGACGTAGGAAAGACGCTGCAAGGAAACCTCTTAGGGGCCTACTTAATGATAGTCAAGCTAAGAGTATATTTCAAGAACAACTAGGAAAACAGTTAGGCAGCCATATATGTGATGCCCACCCCGAGGCAGCATGGAACGATATCCGAAAAGCTGTGTAAACAGCAGTGATATCTGCTAGTAAGGTAAACCAGAAGGTTAGGGAGCAACACTGGATTTCAGCAGCATCTATCGCACTGATAGATGCTCGGAAACTCATTCCACCTGGCTCTGAACATAATGAGGAGCGGAGTCAGCTTAAGCGCAAGGTGACAAGAAGTCTACGCAATGATCGGGAACAGTGGTGGGTAGCGAAAGCAAGAGAGATGGAAAAGGCAGCGGCAATAGATAATAGCAGACAATTGTTCAGACTTGTTAAGGAAACCGACTGTTGGCGAAACACTCTCAGAGAAAGATAGACATATTATACATTCTCAATCCAGGAGATTGGATCGATGGGCAGAACACTTTAGGGATCAGTTCAACTGGCCTTCAGTCACACTTTAGTTTCCCACGATCTTCAGTCAACCTAAATGGCAAGTTAGTGTAGGTCCTCCGACTCTTTACGAAGTTGAAAAAGCCATAGAAAATCTGAAACGAGGGAGAGCAGCAGGCCCTGATAGGTTTACTCCTGAGATTTTTAAGAATGGTGGTTCAGTATTAGCAGTGAGGTAGGTAGAATTTGGGAACTGGACGTAATCCCATCTGACTGGTCTCAATCACTGATTGTGCCAGTCTATAAGAAAGGACAATCACAGAGGAATCAGTTTGACAAATATAGTGTCTAAAATATTAGCTTCAATAATGCTTCGACGCCTAACTAAAGCTCGTGAAGAGCAGACTAGAGAAAATCAGGTTGGTTTTCGACCTGGACGTGGTTGTATAGATCAGATATTCACACTACGTCAGGTTCTAGAACACAGACACATATTCCGATTCCCCACCATCATAGTATTTCTCGACCTTGAGGCAGCATTCGACGTTGTTGATCGTGAGGTTCTATGGCAATGTTTGTCACTGAAAGGAGTACCAAAGAAGTACATTAACCTTATAAAGGCTCTCTATTCGAACACAACTGGTAGAGTGAGAGCTTATGGAGAACTGTCATCAGAATTGATTACCTCAAGTGGTGTTCGTCAGGGCTGCCCACTCTCCCCATTCTTGTTTAACTTTGTTGTTGACGTGCTTTTAGAGATGACACTTTCCTCATTTAGATTTCCAGGGGTTGAACTTCTACCGGGAGATTCATTTGTTGACTTAGAATATGCTGATGACATAGTTTTATTTGGTGAAGACGCTGACAAAATGCAGAGTCTTCTGACCACTCTAAGCAACAATGCAAGCATGTTCGGGATG